GAAGTATGAAGACCATGCCGACATGCATCCGGATGCAATTCTTACGAATTTCTATTGGATACTTCACCATAATGGGCATGACATACAGACATGGTGTTCAAACCGAGGGCATTATCATGTTGAATATTATTGATTCGTGGACTTTGTTTTTGCTTCTATCCCGTTTTCTTTTTACACGAAACCCAGCATGGAGGGAAAAAAATGATGACGAATGTGATTTGAAATATCGTATTGCTTTTTTTGACCGAGGTGAGCGGGATTGTTTATTATATTTCGCGGATGTGTCAGGAGAACCATCCCGGAAATGCAAAAAAGATTGAACCCAAATGCGTTGTTCACGCTACAACATGGATCATCGAGATATGTGGTACGGGATATCATGCTATTTGCGTTAGCTTCCGCTACAACATCATTATTGGCGGAAATATCTCTTTTAATAGACGTTGTGATGTAAATCGAACAAAAATGCCAAACGAAATATACATACGCAATGCAATGAAAATATAAGTGATATTGTTCTGAAAACAATATCAAAATTGAGGACATAGCGTTTGGGGATACTTTTTTCGGAAATTACGATTGCAATCATTCACCAGGCAATTCCAAGAATAATTACGACAATTTCCATTAATGCGCAATTTTGGTGTATCGAACCGAAATTGGACAAATAATACGATTCATTTGTTCGTTTCAGTATAAATAATTTATTAAAACAAGTAGCGTTGAATAGCGTACGACCGTTCGATCACGTCTGCCGACACAATTATTTGAAATTTTGTTACGACGCCCAACCTTCCCACTTGACATGATGTGTACGCGAAAGGTACAATAACGCATCTAATTTCACATAGCAAAAACGCCAACAACAATACGGAAAACATATACCTAAATGACAGGGGCGAATGAAAACAATGATTTAATATCAACATTATTTTGAATGTTCCATCGGGTATTACTACGTACTCGTAATGTTTTTTTAAAAACGGAAATGCTCGCTTTTTTCCCGGGGAAGAGAGGGGCGGGGGATGACGTTTTATTTGTATGATTTTGACAACATATAAAGAATTTGTTCTCGTAAATATTCGCGGAATATACGACGAATCGATTTAGTGTTCACAGAAGATGCGAAATTATTGCCATCATTTTGCGATGACGATTGGAACGCTTATATCACGAAATGGCACGGCATGCAAAAACACGAACAACCGGGGAAGAATAATATTACCCAAGGCACAACGAGACAACAATATTATTTATGTTGAAATGGTGGACAACAAACTCGATAGTCTTCAATGTCTGAGCTCTGAAAAATTCACCAAGTGGGGAAGCCAAACCGTGTCGCCCGAGAATGCATACGGGATGCCTATTTTCGCATCCACTATGTGTTTTTTAAAACGAAGATAATGAGGCATTTAGGGGCATCGCTCTGCAAACAAAATAGCCAAATACGTAGTGGGACCTGGTACGACCGCAGCGTGAATGTATCTCCCTTATAAGTTTGCCATAAGGGAGACACATTCACGCTGCGGTCGTACCAGGGTTTCATCTTGATTCGGTTTCACCCTGATTCGGTTTGCGAACATGGCATTTATGTCACTTGATCCGACCACGCGCGGTGCACGCCCTCACACGTGCACAACCCACGCGCAACCGTGGCTAAATTCGTCTGCCTGCCCATCACGGCGCACATTTGTGTCTTCGAGCGTTCACGCCGCCGTGGGCCAACCCCAAGAGATACCCGAAGAGGCACTGAGATGCATCCAAGAGACCATTGGTTTTTTTGCTTGCCCTCCTTCTCTTGCTACTCTTTCCTCCAACTCCTACTCCTTCTCTTCCTCCTCTTCCTTCTCCTCCTCCTCGGTCCTCCTCCTCATCCTATCTTCCTTCTCCTCACTCTTTCATCCATCCATCCATCCTCACTATTCCCTACCTCTTCTGCACGGTTCGACCGTTCCCCTTCCGCGCCTTGATAAAACGACCGACGAATAGACTGAACCATTGCGCCGAAATTTATATAACCATAACAATTATGAAAACAAATCATGATGAACGCGGCACGGACACGTCATTATGCTCTTTATACGTGCTAATACCATGCTGAAAATAAACCATCGGCATTTGACATTATTCAACGGGTCAGTTCTAACGGTCTCAGATGATTCAAAACAGACAAATAGAGATGGTATTCCAGCAGAATGTTGAAAAGCAGTGACCTACATAGTAAGATAATGTACAACATTGAGCACAACTTGCTGGCCAAAAATTGTCCCTCCAAATTGGCGGCGGTTGGTAAACACAATGTATAAAAACAAAACATCTGCGACAATTGCAAATTTAGCACGGTGCACAAAATCGTAGAAAGATGTTGGTGGTGAACCCGGGCTCGATGTCACGCAATTCGGCTTTTGCAGGGACGCGGTACAGTGCGATGATGTATTTTGATTATCGGAATGATTTTCTTCTTCCCTTGCCCTCACGGCCAATTGGGCGCGCTTGAAGTGTGTAATTGTTTGCCTCTTTTCGTCTCTTACGCGCTCCCGGCGCGCATTTGGCGCATCCAAGCTTTTTGCTGGAATTTCGTTGATATTCTAAAAACGAAGAATGGTGAATATTTCTTGAAACGTTTCGCTTAAGACCTGTCTATTCGTCGTTTTTCCCCTTTCACGATACCGAGCTGAGGGAATACGATTTTGCTTGTTCGTGACCATCGATAGCCTGATAGATTTGTAATTTCATTTTGGCTTGCCCCGGTCGTTTGTTTAATTGTGCACGTGCAAATGCAGCGTTCTTGATTGGAAAAGGTAGTACATGTCATTGGCTACTGCTGCTGCACGCGTGCGGCGAATAACCTATGAATCTTAAAACCGACCAGCGGCAACAATGATTGATAGCTATTGAAAATGATTTTTGTGATTATTGAAACCCGTAAGAAATGTGCGTAAGTAGTGCGTTCGCAATTCAAAGCAATGTTCGCAATTATTACAGAATCTTATTTGTTTGTTGCTTCGATGTTCAAAGATTCTGCCGCCTCAAAGGTAAAAGTCCGAAGGAAAAACACAAGGAACTATGAATGGATAAAAAATGTGAAGAAAACGAAAATATTGGCAATACATCGTAAGCTTCTTTTGCAATTCAAATCGGAATCGTTTTTTGCATGATGGGGCAATTTCCGAGTAGTCGCGGACACAGCAATACTCGTAGATGAGTGCCAATGTTTTTTCATAATGCAATCCGACCGCCACGACAACAACCAAGCATGCTTAACCCTCCAGCGGGGGGGGGCACCGCGCCCAGAACGATCACCAAACGTACCATCTATTGTGCCGAATGGTTGGCATCATCTGCGTAGTGTGGATTTGGAATCTTACATCGATGTACCTATCCTAAGTATGAAGAGCGTGCCGAAATGCATCCGGATGCAATGAATACGAATCTCTACGGGATGTTTAACCACAATGGGCGTGACATACAGACATTGTGCTCAAACCGAGGGCGCTATCACGCCTAATATTGTTAATTCGTGGACTTTGTTTTTGCTTATACCCCGTCTTCTTTTTCACACGAGACCCAGCATGGAGGGAAAGCTGGAGAACGTGAACTGAAACATCGTATTGCCCTCTTTGACCGAGGTGAATGGAATCGTTTGTTATACTTGGCGGACCTGTCAGCACAACCACACCGGAAGCGTAAAGAAGATAGTAAACCAAAATGTATCGTTAACGTCCTAACTCTGGTTGAAGGGGGTGGAAACCGAACTCGTCAAAGCACCCCCAGGGCCCTCGGAGAGGAAGGAAAGCCCCAAGACGGGCCAAGAATACCCCAAGAGGGCCCTATGACGGGCCAAGAGGGTTCCGAGACGGCCCCAGGGCGCTCCAAGACGTCTAAGATAACCTCCAGACGGACCCAAAGGTCCACAAAACAACCCAAGAGCGCTCCAAGAGGCACCCCACGAGGCCAGCATCACTGATTTTCCATGCATGTTTTGCAGGATTTTAGCGTCATCACCTGTTCGGGCTTCCGACGCTCCAAGACGGCCCCAAAGGCCTCCAATATCGCCCACGACGGCCCACGAGGCCCCCAAGAGGGCCCCCAGACGGCCCAAAACGGACCCAAGAAAGCCTCAAGAGAGCCCCCCAAGATGGGAAACGTGAACCAGCATGTCGAGCCCTTTGCCCCAGGCTGATCCCAAAGACGGCCATCAGGCCCCTGAGGGGTCCCAGAAGCTCCAGGAGGGCCCCCTCCGCATCGCTGCGACCAGATCATGGTTCCTGAGTTATGTGGTCTCAATGCAAAATAGGTCATGGTTCCTGAGTTATGTGGTCTCAATGCAAAATGACTGGCGGTTGGCGGAGTTGGCGGAGTGGGTGGAGTAGAAACTAGTCCGCGCGGACATGCATCCCGCTCCATTTGTCAGTATGGATTGGGCGAATCAATTTACGAGCTCGCTCTGAGATACCATAGTTCTCTGTTGATGGGGGCCCGACTTGATCTGCGGGAGCGCAGGAGCCGTCTGCCTACGTTAGGAGAACTCAAAATGGATGAGATCCCAACATCACAGCAATACGCAGAAGCCTGTGTCTCGGCAGTGTGAGAGACCAACACGAGGCCCCTAAGACACCTCAAAATCGCCTTCAAGAGGACGCCATGAACATGTATCCTTGTAAACATCGTGAGCCGGCTCCCTCCCGCACCCCCTCTTGCAGGAACCCACCGCGACCAACTTGGAATAAAGGAGGCCGCGGCGACGATCCCTGGCAGACTCACTTGACCCAAAGAGGCTCCACGAGGGGGACCTCGCCGAGGCCTCCAGAACATCCAAAACCTTACCGTCGTGCTCGTCCTCATCCTTCTCCTCCTTGCTCCCACTGTTGTCGTCGTCGTCGTCGTCGTCGTCGTCGTCGTCGTTATCGTCGTCATCGTCGTCGTCCATTTCAGCCTCTCCCTCCTTCTCTCTCATCTTCTGGGGTCGGCGGAAGGGCACAAGCATCTCGAGTGGGACACGGAAGAACCCGTGAGGCGTGACGCGCCCTCCTCCACTGAGGAAGCGCCGACGGGCTAGGCGGACCCACCGTCTTGGGCCCCGCCCCACCAAACATGCCGAGAGCCACTCGCTTGGGCTCCTGGTCGGTGCGGCCTCCACACGGGGTGGTCCGAGAACAGACGGACAGGAGGGGGAGAGACGCTGGCCCCCGCCGGCCTGTCATGGAGTGCCAGCCAACGGACGCGCTCCCGCCCGACTGGAGTCTGCCATCGTCCTGTGCTTCGGCTGGTGTGGCGGGACCCTGCTCTTTGTTCGACCGCAGGAAGAGCCCCACGCAGTGACTTCTTGCACTCTGGAAGTGCAGGCTGCGTGGTGCAAGCTATGGGAGGCAAGTTCTGTGGGGCAGGCTATGTTGAGCAAGCTGTGTGGTGCAAGCCATGTGGAGCATGCTCTGTGATTCGAGCTTTGAGGATCAAACTACGTACGTGGTGAAGAAAGGTGTATGCGTCAGAAGAACGACTAAGTGCAAACATGATTTGGGGAAGACACGCAATACTAAGCCCTTCATGCAAACACTGTTCGACGGCCTTCTCGAGAAGCACAGGCGCGCTCTTCTCCCCACGGCATCGAGGCCAACACGCATACACTGTTTTGCTCCGCGTCCGTGGGCTGCTGGCATCCTACACGAGAGGCGAAGCCCGAAACAATATCCGAGAAACCGCTGCTCGTGCACCATCTCCTCTCAACCCCCTCAGTCCCACCCCCATGGCGAGGTGGCGATCATGCTCGGCAGCGTAAGAGAATCGTCAGAAGGTGCAGGGCCCGCAGAACATGACGGGAGCTCACTGTAGCCAGGTGGGGGACAACTATTAGGTAGCTTGGCTGATCAGATGCGCACCCTGTCGAATCAACACTCGCAGGCGAGAGCACCTCTTGTTCGCAGGCGAGAGCGTCCCCTCTTGTGAGAGGGGGCGCACGATCCTGTCCCGATGACGCTGCGAAGGCCATTCCCACGAGGACCCCTCGCAATTCTCTTCTTACTACTTCCCTCTTCTCCTTCCTTTTTATCCTCCTCCGCCTCCGCCTCCTGCACCTTCTTAAGCTCAACCTCCCCCTCCTTCTCCTCCTCCTCCTACTGCTCCCACTCCTCCTCCTCCTCCTCCTCCTCCTCCTCCTCCGCCTCCTCCTCCTCCTCCCACGTCCCCACGCCCCGCTCCCCACTTCTCGCGTCCCGCCCTTGACCTCGCGCTTCCCGTCATCGTTCTCGTACTTGTCGTCGTCGTCGTCGTCGTCGTCATCGCCCCCAAGTTTGCATCAGCCTGCACCTCCGTCTCCTCGGTCCCATCCTCATCCTCTCCCTCGTCGATCTCCTTGATCTTTCTCCGCCTCCTCCTGCTCTTCCCTTCCTCCCCCCTCCCTCCTCGTCCTCCCATCATCATTATCCTGCTCCTCCCCTTCCGTTCACTCCGAAGGGTCTTCACCAATGTCCTTGTCCCCTCTCTCGATGTCGAAGAAGACAATGTGGGAAGCCTCTGCGGCTTTCGAGCGAGCACGCGAGCAGCCATGTGAGAGAGGAAGGAGTAAGAGACGAATAGGCGAGAGGGAGACGGAAGAAGGACTGACAACAGAGAGAGAGAGAGAGGGAGAGGGAGGGAGGGAGGAAGACGAGTAATAGAAGTTCGAGCTCGAGGAATGCCAGCCGCTGCCGTGCTGGTGTGAGTCGACTCGCCATCTTTGCTCCTCACTGCCATCCTCCCTGCTTTATCCTTCCTTTTCCTCCGCCCGCCTTCTCTCCGTCCTCGTAGCCTCCCCCTCATCCCCCCTCCCCTCCCCCTCCTGCCCCCTCCCTTTCCCTCCCCTTCGTCTTCCGCCCTCCGCCACTCCCTCTCGTCCACCTTACCCTTCCTACTCCTCCTGCTCTTCCTCCAGGAAGAGAGGGACGTGGAACGTGATATATATATATATGTGTATATATATACATATGTATATATATACATGTATATATATATATATATATATATATATGTATATACATAGATTATATAGATCGAGAGAAACATAAATAAAGGAAGTCGATAGAGAGAGAGGGAAAAAAAAGAGATAAGCGAAAGAGAGAGAGATAAATAACGAGAGAGAGAGAGAGAAGAGCACACACAGAAAGGGGGAGGAAAACGACGACAACACGACAAGACGAAAATCACCGACTCTGCCCGGCCCCGGCCGGTCAACGCCCTTCAGAAGAGCCTCGCGGCTCACGGTGCTCCCCCTCTGCTCCTGCTTCCCCTCATGCTGTTGCTGCCCCTCCTCCTCCTCCTCCTCCTCCTCCTCCTCCTCCTCCTCCTCCTCCTCCTCCTCCTCCTCCTACTTTGCAACTGATCCTCCTGCTCGTCTCCCTGCTCCTCTGCTCCTGCTCCCACTCCGCGGCTCATCCTCCTCCTCTGACCCTGCTCCCTCCCCCTCCCCCTCCTCCTCCCCCCCCCCCCGCGCTTCGCCCTCCATCGCTCTGCCGAACGGCGGGACGACGCCTCTCCGGAGCCCTGCGATTCGCCTTCCCTCTTTGCCGTGCTCCTCAAGCAGCGCCTGGACTCTCGTGGGGGGATGGCATGGGAAGCGAGGCGCGGATGCGACATGTGCAAAGAACGCAGTGCAGTACCCGATCGGGACGTGACGACGGTAACGCCTGGAACTATCCCATACACACGAGCTGCAAGCGACGCAGACCCGAGACTCCTTCAGACACAGTCAGATGGGGACTCCACTCGGCTCTACTAAACTTCCTGAAGCATCGGAACGTTAGAGTTCAGTCGGGCCTGCCCCCCTACAGGGGGATTTTGGACGGAAAATTCAAAAGACCCCCAAAAATCTCAAAACTAGGTAACAATGAGCAAAAAAACGTCCACAGACTATGTTTTGACTATTTTTGAATATTCCTCCTGTAGAGGGACTCGCCCGACTTAACGCTAGAGCTCCACTGCGCGACAACTTAAAGGCCAAGACGGGAACTTTGCCGTCCGTGGGACGCTGCGCATCACCCTTTCACCTTGGACTCGAGCGTCTGGAGCTTCTGGCCCTGTTCCTTTAGCAAGTCCAGGACCTCCTTCTGCCGCAGCTCCTCTCCCTTCTTGCTGGGCACCTTCGGCTCCCAGCGAACAGCGAACACCTGCTCGTTGCCGAACTCGGGTGCTGATTTGTCTCCCCCAACGTGCTGAAACTCCTTCCGGTCCAAGTGGTCATTCTGATTGCGCTCCGTGGGATGCAGTTTGACTGGAACTTCCACGACAACGCGCCAACGAATGCCACCTTTGGCAACGAAATTCGCGCCTCTAATCACCTGAACCTTCAACGTTCCCTTCGGAAATTTTTCCTTCGGCTTCGAGTCTTCATCAGGCGTCCAAGTCAATTTGACTTCAACGCCCGGGTGGTTGCTCCATCGGCCCTTCAGCGCGCCAACAACGGGCACCCACAACTTGACGATCCGATTGCGATCCCAGCCGTCTATGTAGAATGGTAGATTTATTGATCCTATTCCCTGTGGTGCAGAGCCCTGGGCGATATCTTCCACGATCTCAATCCGCGCCGCAGGAGCGGTAGGATCTTTGCACCACTCCAGTCCGAGAGGCGTCAGCCTGTTCTCCTCTACCTCTTGCTGTAGTTTCTGCTGCTCGTCGAGCTTTGTACTCGATTCCTTGTATGCTGTCGTGATAGTTGCGATCGGTAGAACGAAGATCACACCCTTGAACAGACCCAAGAATATTATGATGAACGAGCTGACCAAGTTTTGAGGAAGAGCTTTCTTCTCTGGCGTGCTGTGCTGCATGGTGACCATGCGGCCAGCAACCCATTTCATCGCCATCGGCACTGATACGAAAGCCTTTTGCAGATCTTCGTCATCTGGTGGGAGATCCTGTGGGTACTCGAGCTGCTGGATCACCGCACCCGCAAGCATCGCGATCATCAAAATATACAAGCACAATACGCCGATGGACTGCACACTGTTGCCGATGGTGTATCCCAACACTGTCAATGTGGAACTGAATTTGCCGAACTTCAAGATGCGGAAGAGCCGAAACAACCGCAAAGCTCGCAAAAACGTCAAGTTTACCCCGTCATCGCTGTCGTCGCCCGTGGCAAATAGGCTGAGCACGAAATCAATCCACGCGGGCAAGATCGAAAGGAAATCTATGAGGTTCATGGGCGTAAAGAAAAATTTCACGACGCGGTCCCACTTGGTCATGGAGACAGTAACCACGCCCTCCGCGTCCTTGGGGTCCAGCACCACCTTCTCCAGGAGCACGTCCTCGTTGAATATGTTGTACCTGCAGAAGGGGGCCACGGCGAACTTGCACACGTACTCGACGGAGAAAATGATGGCGCAGATGTCCCCGACCCTCTCGTCCACGACGCCGAATATCTGAACCACGTTCATGATGATGGCGACGAAGACGACGAGGCCGACGGTCCAGCTCAGATAGGACTCGCCCTGCCCCTGCCCCTGACCCCCGTCGAACACGGAGCTGCACCGCCCGTCGAAGACAAAGTTGCACTTCTCGGCGAAGGTCAGCCTGATCCAGGGAATGCTGGAGTCGTGGCTGTCCGCCTCGAACACTTTGCGGAGATCGGTCCATGTCAGGTAAGCCTTGCCAGAGCCGCTCGATGAAGTAGCCCCGAACTGCTCGACGTTCATGTTCGGCTCCTTCACGCCCAGGACTGAATGGAATCTTTCCAGAAACTGGCGGAACATATTTACGTGCAACTTCTTGCCTTCGCCTTTGACCGGCTCTGTGAAGTCCGCCAGCCCCACTGGGGGCACCGGGCTGTGAGGGTTGCTGCTGGCCTTTTGCTCTTGTCTCTTGCCTCTCCGATTCTGTCGCCAGTTTTGCTGTCTACTGGCGGGCCCGCCCGCCCCCGAGCAGCCATCCATTGTGTGCGTGTGCGTCCATCAAATTTTTGGCCGCTGCCAGATGTCCTAGGATTGGACGGTGGCGCAGGGCCAGGAGGGCCCAAGAGGCCTCGCAGACGCCCCTATGAGGCTCCGAGGAGGGTTCCAAGAGCCCAAGACGACCGAAGATGGTTCAAAGATGCCTGTATGATGGCCCAGGAGGGCTCCGAGACACACCCACCCGAGAGGGCAACACCACACACACGCACATACACACACACACGCACACACACACACACACGCACATGCGCACACACGCACACACGCACACACAGACACACACACAGACACACACACACACCCACACACACAACACACACAACACACAACACACAACACACAGCATACACCACACACAACACACAACACACAACACACAACGCACACGCAGACGCGCACACGCACACACGCGCATACGGGCACACGCGCACACGCGCACACGCGCACACGCGCACACGCGCGCACGCGCAAACGCGCAAACGCGCGCGCCCGCACACGCCCGCACACGCCCGCACGCGCCCGCACGCGCACGCACACGCCTGCACACGTCCGCACACGCCCGCAAACGCCCGCCCGCCCGCACGCTCGCCCGCACACGCCCGCACGCACGCCGGCACGCCGGCACGCACGCACGCACGCGCACACGCACACGCACCAGAACACGCACACGCACACGCAGACGCACATGCACACGCACACGCACAACACACACGCACACACAGCACCCACGCACACACAACACACAACACACACACAACGCAAAACTACCCACACAACACACAACAGACGCAACGCACACAACACACACAACATACACCACACACAACATAAAACACACAAAACACGCAGCACACCACACACACAACACACAACAAACACAACAAACATACAACTCACATCACACAACACTCAACGCATAACACACAATACAAACAACCCACACAAGACGCACAACACAAGACGCACAACACACAACAAACAACACACACAACACACACAACACACAACACACAACATATAACTACAAACAACACACAACCCACACAATACACACAGTACACACAACACGCACAACATACATCACACACCACACACATTACACACAACATGCACAACACACACCACACACAACACACACAACACACACCACGCACAACACACACAACGCACACGCACACGCACACGCACACGCCACGCAAACGTGCACGCACAAGCACACGTGCACACCCGCACCCGCGTTCACCTGCACACTTGCACACTCGTGCACTTGCACATGTGCACACTTGCACACTTGCACACTTGCGCACTTGCACACGTGCACACGCGCGCACACGCGCGCACACGCGCGCACACGCACGCCCGCACACGCCCGCACACGCCCGCACGCGCCCGCTCGCGTCCGCGCTCGCACATGCAAACGCACACGCACATGCACGCACACACACAGACACGCACACGCGCACGCAAACGCAAACGCACACGCACACGCACACCCCACAACCCACACATCCACACGCCTACACAGACACACACGCAGACACGCACAAACACGCACACTCACACACACACGCTCACACACACAGGCTCACACAAACACACGCAGACACACAGACGCACACAGAGAAACACAGACACACACAAGCACACACAGACACACACAAACAAACACACACCAGCAACCACACACACACGCACACACACACGCACACTCACACGCACACACACGCAATCACGCACACACGCACACACGTACACACACACATTCACACAGTACACACAAACGCACATAAACACACAAACACACAAACACACAAACACACACCCACAAACGCCCACAAACACGCACAAACACACACGCACACACGAACACAGACAGATACACACACAAACACAAACATAGACAAACACACACAAGCACACGCATACGCACACACACACACGAACACACACACACACACACGCACGCACAAACACACACACACACATACACACAAACACACACAAAGACACACAAACACATAGACACACACAAATACACACACGCACAAACACACAAACACACACAAAAACACACACAAGCACACACACAAGCGCTCACACAAACACGCACAAGCACACACGCAAACACACACATATCACACATAAGCACACAGAAACACAGAAACACACACGAACACACACACAAACAAACACACACACACAAACGCACAGACACACACACACACACAACACACACAAACACAAACACACAAACACACACACACACAAACACGCACACACAACACAGGCACAATACACACAAACACACACAAGCACACACACAAACATACACAAACACATACACACAACACACACACGAACACACACACAACACAAACACACAAACGCACACAAACACAAACACACACAAACACACAAACACACACAGACATATACACACACACACTCACGCACGCACACACACACACAAACACACACACAATCACACACCCATACACACACACGCACACGCACACGCACACACACGCACATTTACCACACATTTGTGCTTTCCATTTTTGTTGCCTGTTACATGCTTTGCTCCCAGGATGTCCAGAAATCGCTTCAAGGCGCCACCCAGAGACCCCGGATATGCCCAAGATGTCCCACAGGTGGCCCCCAAAGGCCATAAGATGCTGCCCGAATCGCCCTGAGTGATTCGACAAGGCCCAAGATGGCCCCAAGAGGTTCTAAACATGAGCCCAGAGGCTTCAAAATAGCCCCGATATTGCCCCAACGTGTTTCTAATATGACCTCAGAAGCCCAGAGATACCCCCCAGATGCCCCATGCTGGCCCCCAAATTGTTCCATTGTAGCCACCGGATGGTCTAGCCTGGGGGGCCGGCAGCAGAGGGCGCATCCTTTCACATATTCGAGCGCCTCGGCTCTGCTCCACATCTTCTTGAGGAACAGCTCGTCGAAAATGTAATCCTGGCGGGTCCACCACCCCATGGGTTCTGCAGCCTTTGGCTCGCTCTCGATGATGGACAGGTGAGGCCCGTAATTGGCTTGGCTGGCCATTGATCGATAGATGCGGGCCAGCAGACGGGTTTCAGTCTATCTGCTGCGCCCGCCTTGGCTGGCGGGTCCCATCCACAGAGCCCCGCCTTGAACCTTAATGGATATGCGTGGCGTTGATGATGCGGATGGGGGTGGGGAATATGAGAATACCTAAGAGGACGATGATTGTGATATGCGATGTGGTGTGAATTTTGACTGTCAGCCGGCGCCGCAGGCGCGAAGTGAAAGGTGCAGCTCAACCTCCTTACATAAAAACGCGACGGTGCTTCCTCTCCAAGAAACCTGCCTCGCCAATTTGAGGGGGCCCAGGGACACATACATAAATACACACACCAATCCCAGGATTCCCTATACTTTCATATTTTCTGGGGAACAGCGATTATTTGCGTCTGTGTTCTTTCCCCTTCTGACAGTTGTTATGCCCAGATATGCCGAGCCCCCAATGTTGGCTGCCGGGGATCACCTGTGCAGTCGGAGAATTCGGGGGGGCCAGTGCAGATTCCAGTCTGCACGGGCGGCGTTTGTGTCCACGGCCCTGGCGGTCAGGACCGAGTGCGGCTCCTTGTGTGTCGAAAAGCTGGCAGTCTCGCAATCTGATAGCGAACCAGGGGAGGACTTTGAAACACGTAAGTCTTACATCTAGCTATGAGCCAAACCCACATGTAAAAAATTGTGGTTGGCGTCGTGCCCGCCAATGATTGTCAGCCGGGCCCTAGGAGTGCTTGACGCGTCGCGGCTTAAACAGGAAGTATTCATCCGCCTCCTCTGGTCTCTGGTCGTCTTTGTGCTCCCCAACATGCCGATGAAACATGTCCACGGACCCCACCAGTTACTGACACTGCCTAGGCAAACAGCGCGCCAAAACAGGGCAACCTTCCACCCTACCGCTGCTTGCTTCAGTCAGGCCGTGGTTTGGGTTTTGCTGCAGCACCGGGCCCTCATCCGTTTGTATGAAGAGTCCGCCGGCTCCTTGGGGTCATCAGGAGCGTACGGCTCTCCCCCCGTGGGGGCCATCAAGCGCGTGAGACGCTTCCCCGCCGGGACCAGCGTCTCAGTCTTGAACAGGAGGGCCGTCGAGGGCGACGGCTTCCTTGCCCCGTCTCTTGTTGCCAGAAGGCTTCCGGTCCTCAGGGTCCCTCAGGGCCGGGGGAACGCACCCAAAAACCTCCACGATGGCTCCAATGTGCCTTCAAGACTGCTGCAGATTGATCCAAGCGGCCCTCGAGCCCCCAAAACGGCCCAAGAGGCCTCTCAGACAGCCCAGGACTGCCCCAAGGGAACCCCCAAGAGGGCCCCCAAATGCTAAAGTCACCTATATCCGTTGGGTTTTCCTTCAAATACGCTTGCCCATCGGAGTCTTAGCTCAATCCCTAAAGAGCTGGTCTCCTGTCCCTCCACTCTGTTTCGCCCGTGCACAGGCAAACTATGCGCATGGCTTCCTTTGTATTTGCACGGCTTCCTCTGCTATCCGCATGGCTTTGCTCTGTGTCCGCATCCCAGCAGTCATCCAGTTCATACATATCATAGAGTGGAGTGGAATTGAACATATCAATATTGTAAACTAGACGAGCAGCGTGGAGCGGAATACAACACTGCAGATCAGAGTGCAGGCGTATTCGATGTTACTTCTTTAATCGGCGCCGCCATGTTTCTATGCTTGTCACAGACGCGCCGTGAGGCAGGTACAATGCAGGCCAGTCTACAAGAAGCCTTCCACAAGAAACCCAACCCTGAGACTCCTGGACGTCCCTTGATTTTTGGTGTGGGAGCGTCACGCTTTGCATCGCAAAACAATCGAAACCCAGGAAGCCCAGGGCACCCTGGGGGCGAGCAGGGTGTTTCTTGGCGAGTAGATGGGGTCGGAGGATCGCACCGCATCGCCGATACATCGGTGATGCATCGGCGATGCATCGGCGATGAACTGCCGATGCATCGTCGACGTCGGCGGTGCATCGGCGACGCCGGCACGGGGAACATCGAGCCCCGCATCGAGCTGCATCGCCGATGCATCGGCGATGCGACGCGATCCTCCGACCCCATCTACTCGGACACCATCTAGGAGGCCTCCACTGTAGAGAACTCGCTTGCTCCTCCGCGCGGGGTGGTGCGCGCGCGCGAACCTCCGCTGCCGCGGCCCCGCGCTGCGCGCTCGAACTCTCGAGACCCAGCTCCGCGGCTCGGCCGCCGCCCCCCCCCCCGACCCCGCCCGCCCTGCGCCCGCCCCCACAGGAGGCGCGACGCTCCGTTCGGGGCAGTGGCGTCGATCTTCGCAGGGGCTGGATGGGGTCGCTCACGAGGGCAACGTGGAGACAAGGCGGAGAGAATGCAGCGGCCAAGGGAAGATGCAGGGACAGGGGGCAAAAGAACGGAGAGACGGAGTGTGAGCACCAAGTGTGCGTGCGTGTATGTGGAGATGAGATGGGATACAATTGCGAAGATTCGCGCGCGCCTCCCCGCCACCCCTCCCTCCACTCCCCGTGGGCTTCTATTCCCAAACAGTGCTTGCGCTCAGGGGCTCTTGCTCCTCTTCGGAGGAATCGGGCTGGTGTGCCGCTTCGGCGGCTACGTTGCCGTCGCCGCCGCCCCGTCGCCGCCTCGTCGCCGCCCGTCGTCTGGGCGGGCGTGCCGCTCTGCCGCTCTGGCGGCTATGTGGTAGCCATCGCCGCCGCGTCGCCGCCTCGTCGCCGCTCGTCGTTTGCGCATTGTTGTGCTCTTCCCTTTTTAAGAAGAAGTTGGGATCGACCATCCCCGCCGGGATCATCGCCCCCCCCCCGGGGATCATGCAATTTCCCCAAACCGTGCTTGCAGGGGCTCTTCTGTTCTAAGGAACTGGGCCGTGCCGTCGGTCCGGCGGCAACGTGGCCGCCATCGCCGCCCCGTCGCCGCCTCGTCGCCGCACGTCGCCTGTGCCGTGTCTTCGGTCTGGCGGCTACGTGGCCGGCGTCGCCGCCCCCGTCGCCGCCTCGTCGCCACCCATCTCCTGGGCCGTGTCTTCGGTCTGGCGGCATGGTGGCCGCCGTCGCCGCCCAGTCGCCGCCCTGGAGTGCACAACATAAACTGCACCGCGTGGACTGCACCACAAAGATTGCACCGCATAGACTGCAACCGCCTAGGTTGCACCACATGCTTGCACAATATAGGCTTCTCCTTTCTGAAGGAATATTCGGATCTACCCCTCCGGAATGAACAGGACCCCTTCGCGTATTGCAATTTGCGTATGATTCGGCCCCATCGTCCATCCTAAATGCGAGTTCGTACCATCCCAAGGCAGGTCGTTATCCCTCCCTCATCTTCTGCAGAATAATACACTCTGCGCGCACTCGTTTATCAACGGTCATCAGTTGTCATGAATCTCTTGCAGAAGAAATGGGGCGAAATGCGCACGCGCGCGTCGTTGCGCGCGCATGCCGAAATCCTTCAGAAGCGATAGGCTTCGTAAGGATTTCAGAATCGAATGTCCCAAACACATAAAAACATATGGCTTCGCAACAAGAACTTAAAACAATAAGCTTGCGCTTGCCCTCGGCGAATTCTTGCAAAAAGCCATACTTTCCAACATTTTTGATGACATGCTACCAAACGGGCCTCTCGCGCGCGCATGTCGACGTCGCTCGAACGCCCTTGTGCGCGTGCTGTCGCAATGACCCCTTGCAACAGGTGGGACGAAGTGCGCACGCCCGTGTAGTCGCGCGTGCATGCCGCAATCCTTCAAAAACCTTAGATGTCGTAAGGATTTCAAAATCGAGTGTCTCGAACACATATAACTAGCATGGTTTTGTAACAACAGTTGTCAACACAAGCCTGCGGTCGGGCTCTTGCGAGTTTTCTCGGAAACCATCGGTTTTTCAACATCTTCATCACATTTCGCAAAAAGACCCTCCAGCGCCGCATGTCGAAATCATTCGAACGCCCTTGCGCGCGTGCTGGGGGTGGGGCACGATCCGTGACACACACACACACACACACACACACACACGCACACACATACATACAGACGCACACACACAACACACAACACACACAGACACGCACACGCACGCAGACACATTCACACACGCACACACATTCACATACATACACACGCACACTCACACACATACACACACACGCACACACACACACACTTTTGGTTGTCGCGGCCTGGCACGCATCATCGAGGCGGAGTAGCACGCACACACACACAACACACAGACCACACACACAAACAGACATACACACAGACAAACAGGCAGACAGACGGACAGGCAGACACACAGACAGACACACAGACACACAGACACACACAGACACATAGACACACACACACACACTTTTGGCGGTCGCGGCCTCGCGCGCAGCATCGAGGCGGAGTAGCACGCACACGCCCACAAGACACAGCACACACACGCACAACGCAAACAGACAGACACACACAGACCAGGCAGACAGACATACACACAGACACAGACACACAAACACACAGACAGACAGACAGACAGACAGACAGACAGACAGACAGACAGACAGACGCATAGACACAGATAAACAACACAAACCACACAACACAGAACACACAACTCACAACAGACAACGCACACAACGCACAACACACACACACACGCGCAACCGCTTTTCCGAGATATGCGAGGGTGCTGCGAAGCAAACATTCAAGCGGAAATGAAAAGATACTTAGCGGAAGCCGCGAGAGACAAGCGGTCCGTAGTGAGGCCCTTGTAGGTGGGGTCCGAGGACGAGGTCCGATTAGATGGATGGGGTCCGAGTAGATGGGGTCGGGGGATCGCGCCGCATCGCCGATGCATAGTCGCCGTCGGCGTGGAGACAATCGGGCTCCGCATCGAGCCGCATCGCTGGCCGATGCATCGGCGATGCGGCAAGAACCTCCGATCCCATCTGGGAGGCCTGGATACTCCTCGAGTGGCGCGACGAGGGGGCGTCCTCCACCAGCTGCGCCTCCTCCCCTCTTTTTCCTCCTCCTCCTCCTCCTCCTCGTCCTCCTCCTCCTCCACAATTACTCAATATGAATACTACTCTCCCTCTTCCCCTGATGACGGTTTGAAAGTGGCCGACCCCCCCGCGTACTGTTTTTCCCTACCTAG